CTCTCCCTCAGCCAGAGCATCATTCCCACCTGCTTTAAGACCACAACCATCGTCCCCCTTCCCAAGAAGAGCCCGGTCACCTGCCTGAATGACTACAGGCCAGTGGCACTCACCCCAATCATTATGAAGTGTTTTGAGAGAGTGGTGCTGGCCCATATTCAGAGCAGTATACCGGAGCCCCTAGACCCCCTGCAGTATGCCTACAGGCCCATCAAGGCCACCTCAGACGCTATTGCGCCTGCCCTCCACTATTCCCTTTCTCCCCTGGAAAATGGAGACTCTTACATCAGGATACTCGTCATTGACCACAGCTCCACCTTCAACACAGTTTGACCTTTGACCTTGACAAGATGGAGGTCACTGTCTGAGCAGTGTGGGAGAGTACAAAGCATTTTAATAAATTTTAATAGTAAATTAGCAGTAAACAGTTGTGGTGTGTATTGGCTGGGCTGTTTTATGGCTATCACTTTTAATTTAACATATGAACTAGTTAGAACGTGGATAAAATTAAATATATGAAATATTATTTCTTGTTACGAGTTACAAATGTCCAGTGTCTAGCTAGAATAGACCATCTGAAGTAATTTGCCTTCTGTTCCAGCAGAGGGCACTCTTATAGTTCAGCTTGAACTTGAATTTGAAACATGCTCTATTGAAGGATCAACTAATTAATGTAATCAATAAAAATGGATGACACAAGCCAGTGACGCTGTGTTGATTGGATAATCAGAACACCGAAGCATCTGAGAAGCAGTATGGAAACATTATAGGTTCATGTAGATACGATTATATGCTGACAACAAATCTGAGGACTCGTCATCGCAGCTGAAGTAGCAGATTTCATTAATTTGCAGAGTGGCTTGCCTCAAATTACCCCCTGGGGCACATATAAAGTACTTTGACTCAAAGTGAAATCCAACTCAGACGCTTGTTTTCTTTGTAGATGCTGTCCTTTGTCTGTGTGTTGGACTTGTGCAGGTTATCAACCATTTCAATGTGTGGGATAAAGCCACAGTGCCAACAGAAAGCAGAGATGCATGTACTTACGGATTGAACACGTCGTCGTCATCCTCGTTTCCAGCCAAAAGGTCAATGGAGTCATAACCAAATATACCTTGTTCTGGGCTCATCAACACACTGTTTCCAGTAGCTGCACACTTCATATCTAGACAGAAAAGAAACATGTATAATCTACTAGCAACTGAAGTCTGTTTGTCTCTGAGCAACCAGGGGAACCTAACATGCAAGTGGGATTTGCTTTAATAGATGATAAATCTGTCTGGCAAGAGTAAAGAATGAAAATCGAGCAAATGTTTGCATTAAATAATAAACTACATGTATAAACTGTCTTAATTAAGGCAAGCTCAAATGGATTCGGCTCCTGTCTAAACAGAATGTTAATGGAAGCTTTAGCAGCGCAGGTAAAGACATCAAAATGTAATATCAAAAGAATGACATTACCAAATAAAAAGTAAAGTTTAATTTCCTACAAATTTTGCAGCTGCACCCGAACACAACATTGGAGCATTTCACATCCCAAAACAGTCATTTACTAAAACTGTTTAAGGTGTCAGTGTTTACGATTTTTGGCTCCTCCAAAATAGAACAAAATGTCACTCTACAAACTGTCAGCTCACCACATTAGTATCGTCAGAGCAGTTCAATTTGTTCAGAGTGTTCTATTTGCAGCAGCCAGTGTGGTAATTGACCACAAGCTACCAGAAGATGCTGCTATATTTATGCTGTGTTTGGTGAGTGAGTATAACGAAACAAGAACAACAAATCTCTTTCAAAGCAAATGGTGACATGTTGAAAGTGCTGAGTGCATTTTAAAAGTCCAACAACACAGAAGCGGCCGATGATGCCTTTTTTCTTTTTGGGGTTCAGATGGGTTAAAGTCCTATAGTAACAGTAGCTGTACTCACTCTCTTTGCTGGGTGTGAGGAAACGGACAATGGGTGAGTAGGTATTTCTGGATGCAGAGTTAGGAGGAGACAGCGAGTCGATTTCTGACAGTATGCGCTCACTGTGCATGATGGACCTGACTGGAGTTTTGAAGGCCAGATCTAGAACACAAGAAGGTGATCAGTCAGAAAACACAAAACAAGAACAGGAAGAGTGTAAGTTTTTATTCTGGGAAAAAAAAGTTAAAATATATAAAGCATTCCTGAAAATGACTGTAAGCTGCCAAACATACCAGTTTCTCTGTCATCCACAGCAATGGCTCGCCTCCTTGCCCGCCTGCGAGGCAGGAATCGCCTCGTCTTAATGGGAACTTCATCATCTGAGTGGTGGGAGTCATCATCCAAAGTTTCTTCAGCCTACAAAGCAAAAAAAAGATATCCTTATAAACCAAAAACTGAATCTTGAATTGTGATGTACACAGGTCATTATCACCTTTAAAAAGCTTTTTTCACTTAAAGACTGTAGAGAGGCATACTGTAAATCCAGCCAAATTGATAACTTGGCCACAGCTATTGGCAAAAAAATGTAATATTAAGCTTCAGATTAACTCCTTTTGTATTAAAGCACAAAGGAAAAAGGCAGACTATGAAAACTCACATGAATACTGTGAGAGCCAGGTACACTTTTCACATAGCTCCAAAACTGGCAATCTTTATTAAATAACTGCCACTTGAGAGAAATCTCAGTGCAACCACAATGACGGTGTGATGCTAAGAGTGCAGCTCCTCGTTGTCTGGCCCTTAATATGAGGCACTAACTGATTAAGAAGGGTTCAGGAGGGGCCAAAGGGTTCTGTTGATCTCTCAGTTTTGTTTGACACTTTGTTTTCTTTAAACTCGTGACTTATTATAATCGTGCCAAGGTCAGTGAGTCACTTCCTGTTCTGAGACCCTTTAAATGTGTGCTTATCTTGTTACACTGAATAAGCCTGAGAACAATTGAAGAACCAAGAGATCTGGGATCATGTGAAACTGAATTTTGCAACAGTCACACCAAAGGAAAATAAATTCATGCGAGCCATGCACAAAGCTACTCTAGAGACGAAGATGTAAACTGTTTGCATGCACTGTTGTGGTGACCTACTTTAACTGAGACTCTCCCTCACATTGTGTACAGTATGTTTAATCCCCTGTCAGACAGCACAATACAGCGCTGTACACCTTGATCCTTGAATGAATCTAGGCCTCTGCATCAGAATTAAAACACTCACTGACTGCAAAGGATTTGTGGCACTGTAGTGTTCACTATGACTGGTTTACTCTAATACATTTTCTCCTCTAAAATTAGGAGGGCATGTTTGCAATGTTGGTTGAAAACATCATCTGGAACTCTAGATGATAAAGTGGTTCATTGTACAAGTATTATTCTGCAACTGGATCCATTATTAAAACAAAAAATCTGTTTGCCTGGAGCGACTAACATGATCACCCAAAGTGAATAGTCTCTTTCTTGATAGAAAGCAGTAATATTCGATTGTTCTCTACATCCATGGGTCACGTGGCAAACTGTGGCAGTCCAAACATACCAGTAGAAAAGGAAGCAACAGGGATTGTTTACACCGTTTACACGCTCTTCTTCTGGCTAACTGTCGACACAGCAGGTAATGAAAATGTACAACAGCGCCCCTGTGGTCGCAAAAGATGACAGTCACCCATTTCGGTGTAACTTCACTTAGTGTTTTTTTTTTTGTTGTTGTTAAGGTCGCTAGCTAAGCTAACGAAAGTCCTGCTAGCTATCATAATGACGCCAACACGACAAAGTGTAACGTCAATATGAAGCGATTACTAGGTTACTAACTGAGAAAATAATCGTAGCAAACAGTAGTAGCTTGTTACCTTAGTTTGAAGCGGGCTCTCAGTCATCGACAGTCGCGTTCGTTTCGACATCGCTTTGTTGCTCGGTCGGCGGCTGCTCTTCGGCGTTTCAGAACAGACTGTAACAGTTTTCTGAGACCTGAGTCTCATTTTTCTTTCTCATATAGGACCTATACACATCTAAACACAAACTACATTGCTGGAAGAAAGTAATAACTTCGGGAGCGACACTTTATTTTTGTTTCTGTCCACCCCCCGACCAAGCTACGGAAAGTCGATGTAGCTCCGCCCGCCCCGCTTCTTCGCGAATCAGTTTGTGTGTTTAAATCTGCCGGGGTGCGATAGGTTCACCACTGCGGACGCTGTTATTGGGCGGTGCTTCACAGCACTAGCGTCAAGTGAGACATGACTCACGTTGCAGTCTGGAATATATCTCCTAAAATCCTGAGCCTCTTATTAAGCACATAGCTGAGGAGGTCAAAATTATACAGACACCTCTGAATATAATGTAGTCCAGTACAACACCACCTTCAACTATGACCTCAATAATAAACCTATAAGCGAATTTATACATTGATGACAATTTCACCAAAAATTGAAGCATTTCAAGCTTCATAAACATAGATATTAAGGTGGTAGTGTTGTATTAAAGTGCATACAATTATACAGATGTACCTAATAAAGTGGCTGGTGAGTGTGTATACATCTATGGGCTGAAGACCCATTTAAATATTTGTGTTTTTAGACTGTGTATAAATCAATCTATAAAACTAGAGTAAAAACTAGACTAATCTAGTGTTCATCTAGAGCAATACAGGGTATTGTAATGATTATCAGTTTGATTTTCAATACATAAAGTGAACAAAATTAAAGTGTATTTGTCATTTGTCAGATCAATGTTTGTGTTAGGGGGGGATTAGAAGAAAATAGGCCCCTGGGCACAGATCTGTAAAAGGCCCCCCACCCTCCTACAACAGAATAAGAGCACTAGACCAAAACTGAGGTCGAAAATGGCTACAAACAGCTCAGTGGTGGCCAGTTTTTCTCTGTTTGCAGTCATTTTGTGTTTTTTTGTAATTGTTTCACATCTGCTTGTAGTTTATCTGTGACCCTTTGTGATTTTTTTTGGATCTGCTTGTAGTTGATTTTAGCCTTTTTGGTCATTTTGTAGGGTACTGCGGTGGTTAGCGCTGTTGCCTCACAGCAAGAAGGTTCTAGGTTCAAGCCCTGGCTGACCTGTGGCCTTTCTGTACTTGAGCTTCCTCCTACAGTCCAACGACATGCAGCTTAGGTTGACTGGTGACTTTAAATTGCCCATAGGAGTGAGTGTGGGTGTGTGTGGTTGTTTGTCTACATGTCAGCACTGACAGACAACCTGTCCGGGATGTACCTCGCCTTTCACCCACTGTAAGCTGGGATTGGCTCCAGCTCCCATGAAATAAATGTAAATATATTTGTTCCTCCCTTCATTTTGTCAGTTGCGATTACTTTTCTTTATATTACTTTACTTTATATTTTACTTTCTGTAATATAAATAAATGAAGTGATATATGGTTTTGGACATTTGAATTTAAAACTACCAGGTTAATCTACTCAATGTCAATTCTGCTTTCCAGGGAGTCTTGAATAAATATGGTAAAAACAATTCAGATCAAAATTGTGAGCTCATAAGGTAAATAATGGACTTCTTGATTAACAGTAAAATTTGGCAGATAACTAGTTTTAGTCCTGTTAACTAAAGCAATTTGTTAAAATGCTGATGTGGAGCTGTAAATTCTTTGTCAATTTTTTGGAGTCAACACCATGAATGTGAAAGAGTTATTAATAACAAAAAGATTGTTATAATGTATAAAAATATGTTTTTATAATACTAACTGATTTGCTCTTTATCTTAAAAATATACAAAGCTCTAGTGACATTTAAGAAAGTTGATATTTTATTAATTTCAGATTTAAAATAAAAGTATTCACACAAACACATATTGAGTAAATAGGCAAGAACAGCTCTTCACCCTTCAAAAAACAAAGAAAAAATAAAATAAACAGTTGCATTGCCCACCGCCACTTCACTGTTACCATGGTTACAGGGAAACATCCCATTCATCAAACATATTATTTTTTAGAAAAAAAGAGAAATAAGCACACATTAATAAAACAGGCTGAAAAATGACCTGGAGTACTACTGGAAGCAGTACATCTTGTTGTACTAGTAGTATTTGTGAGCTGGAGGTTCCCTGTTGTTGGCGCTCAAATAAACTAAACAGCAGAAGTGTTACGAACATGTAACACAGACTGAGAAACAAAGCGACCGAGAGAAAGCCACTTCATTGTCCAAAATGAACCTGTTACTTCACCAACCAGGGTGAAAAGTGATCTGCTGAGAATGGTTTTATTTATATTCACCCGAGACAATGTTATGAATACACCAAAATACGTATTACGTAATACAGTGTGTTAAAGTTCATTTTGGACCCTGGTGTCAGCCCCCACGCCCTCTTTTAAGGATAAGGATAGTCGTTATCCTTGAGCCCTCACTGGGTTAAATGCATTAAATTGGAGGTAGAGGTAGATTTTCCTGAGAAGTTACAAAAGACAGGCTTGTTTCAGTTCTTAAGCTAACGTGACGATGCATGAAGCCCACACACATGCTTCCCTAAAATAATCACATTATGATCTTCATCAATAAACTACATGTAATCTCTGTGTGTCAGGGGTTGCTACAGCATGTCCAAAAGCAAAGAAAGAGCAAAAAAAAACAAAACAAAAATAAAACAATATTAACATGACATAATCCATATCCCTAAAAAGCTGCATTTCAGTAATACTCTATTTGATGATTCTCAGTAATACAAGTTAATTCATATATCAATTGTCACAGCAGAAGGCATCTTGATATTTTCTCACCATTTTCCTTGTCCACAGTCAACTCGGTGAAGGTCAAGTCAATGGTGAAGCTTTAGTCCAGTCAAAAGCCCCAAGCCCACATGCACCTTAACTCATAAATGTTCTGGAACATTTTCCATGTTGGCAGCATGTGGGGCCAGGAGTCAGTCAATTTTCCATGCACGATGCTGTGAACCTGGTATGTTTTCAAAAGGTTATGTTAGCTGCGGCTATGGTGGAAGTACAAGCAGCAATATTTATAAAATGTTATAAAACACCTGAAAGTCACTACATTTTTATGATGCAACATTTTGACAGAGACTCAAAGGATTTTGTCCTGATTAGCAGCTCTGAGATCCGAGACTTAGGGAGAATACATTGACTGCTTATATTGTTAGGAAATAAACAACTTCCGAGACACACAAAATGCATTTTTAGTCTAGTTAAGTTATTGTTCTGATCCATACAACAGCACATGAAAACACTAAACAAGCACTTTTGAGATCAATTCAAGCTATAAACAGCATTACCACAAAACAATGATGTATCTTTGAAGAAAAAAAAAACTGCAGATGTAAAGTCTTTTGCAAGCTAATAATGAAAACCAGGTTCTATAAGTGACAGCAGCTATAGATGCAGTTGGCAGCATTCAGAGAAAAACAAAACAAAACACAGATCTGACCATAAATCTACTCCTCAAATTTTAAAACAACCTCAGGTCTGATAGTAGTTGGTTCAGTTGTCTTTACATTTCACAGCTACATTGTTGCAATGTTTCTTAAAAAATTCTGATATCAACTTTATGTCTACTATGGAGGAACCTGCCAAACCACAGAGACAGACAAACAGGCAAAACAGGATATTTGATTATTGATTGTTTACTGAATGTATGCTTTGTGCCTTTCATTCCTATTCTAAATGTCCTGTATAGCTACTAACTCCAGCAGCCTCTTGAGTCAATTGGGTATTTTAGTGTTCCATAATGATTTAAATGCTGTTTCAGAGGCTCTTTTATCTCAACTAGAAGAAATCTCTGGAAACACTGGAAGGATAGGAAGATATGAACACTGAATGTGTCATTCAGGTCAGATCTTTTTGTGCTACCATTTAGGAAAACTAAACTGACTGTGTATCATATAACAAAACCGTCCACTGAGGGGAGCTCTTACTACAGATGCTGCAGCTTGACCTGAATCTTATTTTACTATACTGACACCTCTGATTCCTCTGGATTACAAAAATGATTATTGATTAAAGATGAGTCATATTTTAGGCGACATTTGATTGTCTACTGTCACTACAATCTCTTTCACAATCAAAACAAACTCCATAAACCAACATCAACAACATTTTTATCAGGCAGGAACACAGCCTTCAACAGGATTCATCTCTGTTGTGGCTAGAGCAAAGATACCTCCAAAAGCTTTAGTTCATTGAGGTAGAAACAGGGCTTGATTGCAGTTGAAGGGATGTCAGAGTGTTGGGAGGTATACAGTGTTGTCATAATGTCGATTGTCGTTACCACACATTTTAAAAGCATGCCAGCCTTCCCTGAAGATGCTACTATGCAGAGAGACAGAATGAGAGAGCTGCAGTGCTTTCCTCTTCAAATGCAAATATCTCAGAGAGCTGGTCGATAGATATATAATAAACATGGATCCACTGAAGGGAGCAGGTGCTTAAATGTTGCCTCGGGGGCTAAAAGGTCACAGGGTCAAATCTAAAAAAGCAATGTTGATCCTTAAGATCAGGATTGATTGAATTTTGCTTTCTTCAGCAGCACTTCCCCCAAGCCAATGCTTTAAGCCTCAGCCTCTATTTATTTGATTGTCGGCCATTACCAGTAACTGTGACATCTGCTACTGATGAACAGAGATGGAGAGACATGCTAGGCTTACGGTGTGCCACCAGACCAAATACCTGCAGAAACATATGGTAAAATATGAAATTTACAGTAGCTTTTGATCAATCAGGGGAGTTGAGGGAGGAATATGTATGACTGTCCTAAAATGTAAATATGTCTATCGGAAGTTTGTTTGTTTTGTGTTTTTTACACCCTGGGTCTTTCTGTCATATAATACATTACCATAGATATTATTATAGCATATATATATATTTGTACCTTTCTAACCTTTCTGGAACAAAACTGAATGTAAAACAAAAATAAGGTGATGAGATAGTCTTAGCTAAAGCTAATTTACCCACTTTGTCCTGCACCCTTAAATTCAATTCCATTTTGAAGCTCCAAAATTTTAGTAAGTGATCCTGTTTGTTAAGAAAACAAAATGGTTGAGGTTGAGGTTTTGATGTCTGCTGACTTCACAGCCACACTACAGGGCAACATCTGCAAAACAACTCGCTCTTACGCAATGACTAAATTAATCATGTAAACTAGATATTTAGATATTTGACTGCAAAGGTCTGTCCTATATCTGTAAAATGACTTATCCACTGATAAATGACTGAATGTTACAAGGGAAACAGTTGTTCACTAATAAAAAGGAACATGGTTTTGTATAATCTCCCACCCATGTACGGCTGCTGATAAATCTGTAATCAGGTAGCTGGAGTTTCAGTTCTGCAAATATATCTCAGACAGAAAAAAAACACTCATTTGACAAACTGAACCTCTGGTCAGAGCCAAAGAGTAGCAGTAAGTAGCACTGAATGAAGCAGAGGTAGCAGAGGAGGAGGATAACGGGCAGAAGACTAAGTCATCTAGTAATACTTTTATCTACATTTGACGCTTGGCCTAGAAATCATCATAGATTAAATTGGCTTTAGCTGTTTAGTTAGGCTGCTGACTTTCCATTCACTCCTTCCCTCACTCTAACCCTGTTGTATGAACAACAGTGACACTGATGAGAAGCAAATGAAACCAGGCTTAGTGTTGAGCCACAAGAGAAGTAGCAGTTTCTGGAATGCAGTTGCACTTAAACGAGTCCAAGTTGCACCACCTGCAAGCAAGGAAAGTAAAAGACCTGTGTGCCACCTGCAGGCAAGAAGTTACACCAACAGTTTGTCTCTTTTTTATAGTTGCTTAGTGTAGGTTAGTTTAAACAACCTTCATTAACACACACTGCAGACTTTTGTATCTGGTGTTAAATATTTGAACTACAGACTTGGGATCTACTGAAATAGTTAATATATTTGTTGACAGAGAATGACCTCACCACAAAATCCACCCAGCAGCTGTTCAGGAGCTAACTGTACTGATCATTCTTGTTTACTGGTAGAACAGTTAGTCTCTGCTAAGTGATTTAACATTAAAGCTCACTTGTCTGAGGCAGCTGGTGTTGTTCAGCCAAAAGCTTATGTTTGAGTATTTAATAACCACTGAAGGTTAGTGCGACCCCATTATTATGCTTTTATTTTATTCTGTCAGTGGCAACATCGACAAATCTACATTTCAAGTCAAGCGGTTGCTGCTATTACTTTTCTTGTCTATAGGTGGCACATTAAACTGCTCTGGCCTTATAAATGGTTTTGTTAGGTTCTTTGCATCTAAACCTGTCCTCCAAGACCATGAAATTACTTTTCGGTGTTAATGAGATCCTGTTTCTGCTACTTGAGCCTCTGACAAACATTTTAAAAATCTAAATGAGCTGCCTAAACTAAACAGGAGTTGTTGGCTACCTGAGCGGAGTTAGTATTTTCCAAAACTGAAGTGTTTGTGTAGCAGTTGGTGGTGATTTCCCACTGAGAAGCCAGGCCAGAATCAAAGCCATGACAGGCATCTGGTGATATCTGACTTGAGCAGACGGAGGTACTGCTTGCTCTCCGGTTAGCTCATGCTGTGTTAAGGCCTCAGAACAGAGGCCACATACAAAGCCTGATTTACTTCCTAGCATTAGTAGGAATGAGGCTGCTTTGTGTAGGGGTGGGGACAGGGGGGTTGGGGGACCAATCTTTAACAGCTAACAGTCCAGAGAGGTAACACAGGTTAAAGTTCAAACAGCTGAATGACTGATTCAAAATGCAAAGACACAACTACTTATGAAGTGATGTGGTGTCTCCACTGTAGTGAATCTAACTGTAACAACACAGGAGCAAAAATCAGCCACAGCTATGACTACCTCATCAAAAGTCCTAATTATGCAACATCTAAAAACAAAGGCATTTTCTGACATATCATTGATAGGCGGTGAGTTAGCCGCAAGAAACCCTGCCCTCATCACGGCACAGAGTAAGGAGCACTTGCATCAGAAGAACAAGTCGTGCAAAAACACAAAGCTGAAACAAAAAATTACAATATTTGTTATCTATAGTACTGGGGAAAAAACAACAAAACATCAGATATGATCTGAAATAACTGTCAGGTTAGGTTTCTTCTGCTTCTCCTGAAACCTGATTGTCCATGTTAGCATCTCCTCAATAAAGAAGATTTAGTGGACACCTCACTCCTGCAAATTCAAGACAGGAAATCACAGGCTTCCTGCTTGAAGGTTTTTTTTTTCCTACAAATACACACATGCATCCGACTTCAAGACAATCACTCCACTAAAAGACCATGTTAGAAAAGAATACAAGCCAATCTTTCTGAAGGATATTATACAAATCAATGAGCAGATGGACACCTGAGCACAATCAAAAACACGTCATTCACATAAAATCTGAACCCCAGTCGGCAATAGCAACAGTGGGTGAGGCTCAGAAAGTCCAGCATATTGAGGCGCAGTGAAAGGCTTCCACCTGCACAACTGAACTAACTCACACAACAGCCATTTTGAACACTAGCTGTGATGATTTGCAGGCATGATTGGCATGGATGTATACAGTGGAACCTTGGATTACGAGTATAATTCGTTCCGGCAACATGCTCGTAATCCAAAGCACTCGTATATCAAAGTGAATTTCCCCATTAGAAATAATGGAAACTCATGTGAATTGTTCCACACCCACTTATCCATATAAAAATGATTACAGTAATACAAAATACAGTATAAAGTAAAAATAAAACAAATTAACCCGCACTTCACCATTGAAAAGAATCATGGCTGGCGTGAGGGGCCATTGTTGCAGTACAGATATTGACTACATGAGTGAAAAGCAAGAACCATCAGCTCAGTTGTGACGTATGTCACGTGACGCTCAGCAGACAAAGCGTACATACTACTCGTATTGCGAGACCTCATTTGTATATCGAATCAAAAATTTTTGCTCGTCTTGCAAAACACTCGCAAACCGGGTTACTCGCAATCCAAGGTTCCACTGTATATAGAACTGGCCTCATGTCAACAGAGGATTTTAGATATAATTTAGCCAGCTGTCTCAGAAGAACAACTACAACAACGGCTTAGATTCAGCGGGAATGTCAGCTACATAGCGTTCTAGCCAACTAGCTACCACCTAGACACCAGTAGCGATCAATAATAGACCAAATATATTAAAACGAACAAATTTCCTGGCAGATTACTGAGTTGCAGCTGTTTCAAATTTGCATTTCACTGAAGAATCAGTGGCATTGATATGCTGTGTATCATGGTACACAACAGGAGCGCAACCCCACAGCAGAGATCCAAAGTGGCTGCCATGTGAATAATATTTTACACAAAATGAGGTCACAATGGTACATTGTTATATGCCCTGAAGAAACAACGTATACCCTTAAAGCTTTTCTGATTAAAAATAGAAGATATTCAGTTTTTTTTAATAGAATTTTAAATTTCTCCTGAAACCTGATTGTCCATGTTAGCATCTCCTCAATAAAGAAGATTTAGTGGACACCTCACTCCTGCAAATTCAAGACAGGAAATCACAGGCTTCCTGCTTGAAGGTTTTTTTTTTCCTACAAATACACACATGCATCCGACTTCAAGACAATCACTCCACTAAAAGACCATGTTAGAAAAGAATACAAGCCAATCTTTCTGAAGGATATTATACAAATCAATGAGCAGATGGACACCTGAGCACAATCAAAAACACGTCATTCACATAAAATCTGAACCCCAGTCGGCAATAGCAACAGTGGGTGAGGCTCAGAAAGTCCAGCATATTGAGGCGCAGTGAAAGGCTTCCACCTGCACAACTGAACTAACTCACACAACAGCCATTTTGAACACTAGCTGTGATGATTTGCAGGCATGATTGGCATGGATGTATACAGTGGAACCTTGGATTACGAGTATAATTCGTTCCGGCAACATGCTCGTAATCCAAAGCACTCGTATATCAAAGTGAATTTCCCCATTAGAAATAATGGAAACTCATGTGAATTGTTCCACACCCACTTATCCATATAAAAATGATTACAGTAATACAAAATACAGTATAAAGTAAAAATAAAACAAATTAACCCGCACTTCACCATTGAAAAGAATCATGGCTGGCGTGAGGGGCCATTGTTGCAGTACAGATATTGACTACATGAGTGAAAAGCAAGAACCATCAGCTCAGTTGTGACGTATGTCACGTGACGCTCAGCAGACAAAGCGTACATACTACTCGTATTGCGAGACCTCATTTGTATATCGAATCAAAAATTTTTGCTCGTCTTGCAAAACACTCGCAAACCGGGTTACTCGCAATCCAAGGTTCCACTGTATATAGAACTGGCCTCATGTCAACAGAGGATTTTAGATATAATTTAGCCAGCTGTCTCAGAAGAACAACTACAACAACGGCTTAGATTCAGCGGGAATGTCAGCTACATAGCGTTCTAGCCAACTAGCTACCACCTAGACACCAGTAGCGATCAATAATAGACCAAATATATTAAAACGAACAAATTTCCTGGCAGATTACTGAGTTGCAGCTGTTTCAAATTTGCATTTCACTGAAGAATCAGTGGCATTGATATGCTGTGTATCATGGTACACAACAGGAGCGCAACCCCACAGCAGAGATCCAAAGTGGCTGCCATGTGAATAATATTTTACACAAAATGAGGTCACAATGGTACATTGTTATATGCCCTGAAGAAACAACGTATACCCTTAAAGCTTTTCTGATTAAAAATAGAAGATATTCATATTTTTTTAATAGAATTTTAAATATATAGATTTTTTTCCTGCAGTGAGAGGATTGTTAAAGATTTAAATGATAAACACGATAGAGAATAACAATGATAATGACAATGAAAAGTTAGAATTAAAACAAAAATCTCTCCCCTGGAGGATAAAACATAGCTGTCAGTCAGTAGCTGTTTGAGTGTGTGTAAACAGTACATTAACCTCCCTAGTTATTACTTTATCTTTTGTTCTCCAACAAGCTGAGCTTTTATGCAGAAATAAATAATTCACAGGTTGTGCATACTTGTTTAGCATATAATGGCTCTGAGTAGGAATATTTTCTTCAAAATTATTTTGGCTACAAAGAACAAAAGATGTGAATTTGTGAGAGAAAACCTGAGATAGTGTACTTCAAGTGATCTGAGTTTCAGTTTGTCTCTTTCTCTATGGTTTATGGTTCTTGTCTTTGTGGCATAGATGGTGTAGAAAATGAGGTTGATTTTTGGCTTTACTTAGCGTGGTAATTTCAAAACAAACAAAGAGGAAAGGCTAGGGGTTTGTTAAGACAACAGGTTGCTGGAGGTTGAGGATGAGGTAGGTGTGTTCTGCTGCTGCTGAAGGGCAACACGATTGCTGACCGCCTTGTTGGAGACTGACGATCCAGACGTACCAGAGGAGGCAGACCCTGGTGCTGCCTGAGCAAAAAGAACACCTGGACAGAAAAAGATAAAGAAAACCAAAAATTAATTTCTTCTTAATTTAATCTCAATTTTAAAATAAAACTAATAAAATTAACTAAACATTTTAAGAAATACACTCTTTTCTGGAGGCTAGGGTAGAGGGTGGTTGGTGGGGGTAAACAACAGTTTCGGTAACTTTCCAGAACCAACAATTTACACCCACTGCACACTGTGATTGGCCAGCTGTGCAGTGGGTGAGAAAAGTGCAAGGGTTTGAAATCCACCCCCATTCTTCACACTTCACCTCCTTTTATGTGAACAAATGAGTGCAATGCCATGATGAAGACCTTCCAGCTGAATGCTGTAAAAAAACTCCCCATATTTAAATGATATCACATCTTCTCCCACTGTCTGTCGGCTGGCCTTTGCTTCCGATCTAAACTAAGTTAATCGCCTCCTGAGTCCAGCATTTTCTAAACCTCAGAAAGAAAGTGAAAAAGCTTATTTTCAGAAATGATGATCAATCCCTTGAAACATACTGTAATGATAATGACAACTGCCTGTTTTGCCTACCTGATTAGAAGGTGATCGGATGCACTTCCTGTGCTACGTGCCAGCAATACTCACCAGTGTACACCACTCCATTGAGCTCCACTGACATGCTAATGCTGCTTGTGCCGTTGGTGGAGAGGTTCAGCGCCGAGTCTTGCCTGCCGTCTGTTAGGAAGACAATCGTAGAGTAGAGCTGTGATAACAAAAACTTGAGCTTTATTCAGTATAAAGTTTATTAGATATTTTTTGTAACACTAGTCCAGAGTTTTCTCTGGTGTTATAGTATATACTGTAAATACAGTAAACTATATGAAACCAAATGATTAAAAAAAAAAAAAAAAAAACATCTAGAATATATACACCTTTGTGTGTAAACTTGCAAAAAATGTGCAGCTGAACAATTCTCTGAAGTCACCTGTATTATCAGTACTGAGAAACAGGTTGCGTGCGTGTCAGATAAGACATTAACCAAGCAAAACCCTGCTATAAGATCAAAGTATGTGTATGTGTGAAGATTCCCTTCTGTCGGCAAACGCACATGTTCTATATGTATGTCTGCATGCATGCTGCCTCTATATGCTAAACGGGTCAGCATATAGGCCTGCTATGGGTTACTTCCTCACTGTTGGGTGTTGTGGTTTGTGGGCAGACGACAAGAACGTGTTGAGATACTAACTGCCAGGAGGAGTGCCATTGTGTGAAATCCAGCTCATCTACATTCTTGGCTAAAACAATGAAGTTTAAAATCCACAGTGATGCCCACAGCATATTTGTTGCAATAATACCAGTGTGTATTGTCTCTCCTCAGCTGCTTATGATTCTTAACAAAGGAACATAATAGAAAATTACAAGTTGGATATAAGGACAGAAACTGAGCTGGTTATAAATGATCTTAGTGCAAAATTTTGCTTAAAGGAATAGTTCCGGATTTTTCAGGTTGGTGTTAAAACAATACTGAGGTATCCCTATGTACGTGAGAATGGCTCTTGGTTGTTGTTGCTTCTCCTACTCGACTCACTACACTGAATGTGTCCACCTGGAAAAATGAGGGGCAAACAACACTTCTGTAAAAACATGCACTCCAAAGTTCTTCTGAGGCTCAAATGCAGCCTCTGCTAAAAAGAGGCAAAAAAAAACAAAAAAAAAAACCCTAAATGCAGCTTCTTTTAAACATCTAATAAAATAAGTGGCTGTGTAGCTTAAATTCTGTTGTAATTACGGGTACAGGACGGGTCGCAGGTCTTACGTTAACAGGTCAGGTTGGGTCTGAAACTAACTTAGAAATAACTTTGGATAACCGGTTGGGTCCAATACAGAGCTTTGCAGGTGGGAGTTTTTCAAATTAAACTGGGAAGGACTCTGGTGTGGAGAGAAGGACCAAGACCTATTCAAACATACACAGGGATACATCAATATTGTTTTAACACCAACTTGAAAAATCCTGAACTATTCCTTTAATTAGTTTTCCTAATTTAACAAAGATAAAAATGTCAAAATAAGATCTGCTTTATCAAGAGTGGGCGGTTTGTTTTCCCCAATAGTCATTCAAGATTTGGAATTTACTGCTTAATTTGACATCAACATAATGATTAAATAAACCTTCTTAAAGCTATTAAGACTTAGCAGATGTTAAAATAAAGTGCTCATATCATGCTGAGTAGATACAGGAGGAATTTTCTCAACCCACAATCTGTTATTCTCTACTTGTGCTGCCTCAGCACATCATAAACTCCATTGTGTGTTCAGTACCCTGGTTGTTGATGCGGATATTCATGGGTATCTGGGCTGTCATGGCCAGCAGATTGTGCTGAAGTGCTCTCTGCAGCAGTCGGTGGTGTTCCTCAGCTGGCAGTGCCATCTTCTTCTCTGGTGGCTCACCGGCCTCCAGTTTGTCCCTTAGCTGTTCCAGAGCTGCCACCTGAGCCGCCATTGCTGCCTGGGCTGCTGCCGCTTGCACAGCAGCCACTGAGTGACCTGCCAAGGCCCCTGCTGGCAAACGAGCCATGCCAACCCCTGGCAGTGACTGGCCTCCCTCCTCTTCTGGTTGGACAGCACCGAGAGGGGGAAAAGGGCGAACTGAAAATGACGCGTTATCTAGACAAGATATTATGTTCATCCCTGACCACTATGCCAAAAAACTGTTGGTTGAAGATGCATACCACGTAACTGCAGAGATGACAGCAAACCTAATTTTTCATTAATATTAAATGATAAAAATGGATATTTGAGTTTACTGCTCAAATATATTATTCACCCAGTCTGCTTTCAGTCACCTCCTTCCAACAGTTAACTCCATGTGATGAGTGAAGCAAAAAACACAAATCTCACCTTTCTTGATCTTCTGGATGGGGTTCAGTGAAGCCCCGTTGGTTCCCACTGTCAGGCCCACACTGGAAGTGGGAAGCTTTGGCGAGGACAGCATGGTAGGCGTCCCGTTAGGGGAGTAGGTGAAGAGGGAGCTGCCAAAGCTCTGTCGTCGGCCCTCCCGCCGATTACTGTCAATGGCTGCCTGGAGCTCAGTGGGGTTGCTCAGGCCCCTCTTATCACATTCATATGGGTACAGGTACTTCATGTATCTGAAAGAAACACACAGTTTTTAATTAAAAGGTGCTTAACATAGGCATGTTTAGAGTTTTGCCTGTTGCTGAAGAGGTTCAATCAGTTCCTAACACTTACAGTGAATGCACACAAAGTAAAAGCTAATTTTCTGGTGGGCTACACCATTTACCGTAATTTCCAGACTATAAGCCACTACTTTTTTCGCTTCATGCACACACCCTCATCATGGAAAACACACGACGAAATCCATACGATGCAGCTCTCAAGTTAAAGGCGATCGATCTTGCTGTCGAAATATCTCATATTACAATGTGGACACCTGCGGCTATGTACAAACTGTTTTTTCGTTTTAAATTTAGTGGGTGCGGCTTATATTCAGGTGCGCTCAATAGTCCGGAAATTACGGTAGTCAAATTAAAGGGGCATTCAACCAGTTTATCTCATCAAGGGAGTATAAGAGTTTTCACATTAGACATGATTGTTTTGTAACATGGTCGAGCATGATTACTCCCCCCTCCCCCCCATAGGTCTGCTTTCTTATAAGTAACATTGTTCCGTGCCCCAGCACACTTGCATATGTACACAGTCTGATACAGTAGATGGCAGTATGCAGGTAGTTGTTTGCAATCCACCAAGAAAGAAAAAGAAGCAACCACTCGCATCATTAACTGGGCGCATGTAAATACTGATGAATACTTGCATAAATGTCAAAGTTTGTGTGTGTAGTATCCGGTTGTCTTTGTATGTTTTCATCAGTCTACATTTCAAGCAAGCAATTTACATCTTCATTACTCCACAAAGATCTTTTTGCAGCCTTGTTATTTAACAGAGTCAAATAGTTATGATGTCACATAGCAGCCCACTTCCTTGTTTGCATTCACATCTCCCAACGGACCGTGCTACAAGTATACATGAATCATGCTCAAGACCACCTCTTCATACCGAGTCCAGTATGCTTGTGTTCACACTGATCAAAATGACCGGACTTTGGGGTCAAGTGTACTCAGATCCATGCCCAGGTCCCTAATGTGAAACCACCCTAACCAAACCTTTGAAGCAGCTTTATGTCTCCTGTGGCTCTGGCTTTGTCCAGTCTGAAAAATATCTCAGCTTGAACTTGAGACAACAAATTTTAAACTAAAATTCTGTATAACATACTGTATTTAAGGTTTTAAGTTTGATAGACATGTAGATTCACCAGACACGAACAGTTTGCTGAAAGATGCTTTCAAGATGCACTGTGGGAAGTGTAGGATCTGCCATTTTTGGAGTTTGACCCATACAAAGAACTCAAGGTGAGGAGATCTTGGTCTCTCCTTCTTTGATTCAGACAATTTGTCTCTTATATGTGGAGCCCACCTTTATGGAAGAGTAAAATTAAACAACTAGAATGTGTTTTCAAGCCATGATGACTACAATGATGGCTACAATGAAACATGCCAGGAACATGCAAGCAGATACTAGATAATGGTACATGCTTGAGAAGTCAAGCCTTGTTTCCATAAGGAGACATGTGGTTGAGCTAATTAGGAATGAAGACACTTCAGTCTAAACCAACAACAGGAAATGACACTGGGGATAAATGGTAAAACCAAATTGTTGTTGACATTTCAAAACAAGCAACTCCATATGCTTGAAACGCAGAGCAAAAGGATTATAGTTATAACAGTTTTGGCTACCCAAAGCAGTAGAAACTCAAATCAGTTGTGCTGACTTCTTTTTTGGCAAGATAGTGACAAGCAAACATGTTGTTTACAGGCTCAGAGGGCTTGAGATTAACAGTATGTCTCCAAACAAATTAAACACAAAATTAAACTAAGTAACCTTTCACATGCAATTCAAACAAACAAGCAAATAAAAAACACAAGTGGAGGTGTGTGTGTACTGACTGTGTGCGGAGGGTGAAGGCCGCACTGGTGATTGAGGTAGGCAGGTTGAGTCCCTTGGTGATCTCCCTCCACAGTTTCTTGTTGATGACCTCCACCAGGCCACCTTTCTCTGTCACCAGCTTGTAGAGCATGTACAGATCCAGAACCTGCTTGGCCATGATGGGAATGCGATTCACTGGGGTTCCTGGAACAACAACACACACACCCACAGGGGAAAGGTCAACAAAAAAAAATAAAACTGTGAGTGAGGCATATCACATTGGCAGTATGCAGTTTCTGGATGTAGTCATCAATTAAAGAAAAAAAAAAAAAAAACTACAATATAAGAAACTTGAAAATTAAACAGTGAGTGAAGAATGAAGAGTTGAGACATCTTTTCATTTTGATCTTTTGATTGTACCAGACAAAATCATAATAATTTTCTCAAATTGTTATGATTTTCTCAGTAGACAAAAACATTCCAACAGAATTGTGTCTCACAAAACTGGCAAAGCGATATTTGTTACTCAACCTGACAAGGCTGTTTTCTTGTCTTCAAACTAGACATGACATGAGTGTAGGTTACTGACAAACCAAGTATGAGACAAAATGCCTGGTGACAGGATTAATTAATACCTATAATTTTGTATTAACCTGTGATACATGTCGATTTCCCAGTGAGGACAGTCAAAGCCTTCATTAATCAGTTACATTTTAATACTTTTAAACAATGAGTGGTCCTAAATATAGTCCACATGTCAAAGTAAAACATGATAGTAATTCTTGATTTGCATATTAAGGAGTAATGCCTCAGTCACCAGTACAACCCGCAGATGGCGCTCTCAGATTCTCAGAGCGGACTTGGCAGACCCGCCCACCTTGCTCTGACACTGTAAACATGCAGTACTGGTTTTAAGTTGTAATTCATGTCTGTTCTCTCCCAAACTGCCGATTTGATTCAATCAGTCAAGCCAATCTGTCAAAGTAACAAGGCTGCTTGGTATTTAAGAGATAGTCATCTGCACTGGACTGCTGCTGGACACTTCTGTACCAAATACAATGTTACACAATCCACACCTTCTTAACCACGACAATGTATTTTCTGGATGAGGAGAAATGAGAATTTTGTTTGGCTCAGTTATATTGTGAAGATCCTACACGATGGCTGAGCCAGTGATTGTGTATTGTGTTCTGGTCAGGCCAAATAGCACAGTGGGAAGGTAAACCAATCCATTCCAGTGCATTCATACATTGTATTCCTCCTGGTTAGAGCCTGGGAACAGTGAGGGGCTGCACAACATAAAGCAATCATCTCTGAAACGAAGAAAGACCCCACCCATCTGAGTGAAAAATGAGTAGGGAGAGCTGTGTCATATGTCAGAGAGGATGGGAGGGGATCATTCTCTCTGTATCTGTAACTTTTAAGAGACTCTCTATGATACTGGCTGGACATAAAGCAAGGAAATATAATATGAAAAGATTAGCGACTGAATGGATAAGTGTACTTTAATGTGTACCTCACTGGGATGCAGTGTTTATGGATTTAAAAGCACACACATGCACAGCTGCGTACCTCTTTTTTGCATGAAGCCGAAGAGGTCATCCAAAAACTCTTTTCTCTTTGGGTCTCCATCCAGTTCATACAGCTGAGGAGAGGAAGGAGAGAAAGACATATGGCGATACTAGTTTTTATATCTGACAACAAAAGTTCTTACAGGTCTGATGTAAGAATACCGAAACCAGGGTGTTCTGCTGTCATAAAAACAATCTGATTACATAATACTGCATCATGTGGTTGACAGGAAATGACCTCAACGGCAGTCCTGTTACTATAACAACCAGTGCTATAATGTGTAACAGCAAGAAGTCCAAGCAAAACATAAAATCTGGTCATTATAAAATCGACAGCTGTAATGGAAGCCCAGTCATGAGAAATCAATTAGTTGATTTGTGGTCATAAGTAGAAAAAGAGAAATACTGTGGACCAGCCTGGCTTGATGAGAACCTGATGCAGCTGCTGGAAGGACACTGGGCTCTGGAAAGTTCAGTGAAATTTAGCAGTAAAACTGGGTGCCCACTAAGGGGACAACAGTGAGGCCACTGAGGTTGTAGTTGTTTTTTCCAGCCTAGTATGGCAGTGTAAAAGTGAAATACTTCATTAGAGGTACTTCCACAAAACATGGCACAGGCATTTCCTCTCACAGCAGTGAGTGGGCAGCAGCTTCAGCCACAGCTGTTTGTATGTATTAAAGTCTTATTAAAGACATACCACAGAGTATATATTTGAGGCCATATAGCTTCATGGCAAGTTGTGAAACACAATGTGCAACTGAGTGCCGGCAAACAAAACCACAGATAAAATAGAACCAAAGCAGCATATTGTTGCTACACAGACACAACAGCTAGCAGGCCACACCACTACTAACCCTCATGTTGTACACTCCACAGTAGTGCAAATGTCACATCACAGGAAAGCATTCAGCTCCAAAATAACCAATTTATACAACAGCTAAAATGATTTGGTGACAGCAAATTAAGCAACAACTACTTCAACGATCATTTAACAATTTAGTAGTTCTTCAAGTAGAAAGTCTTTGGTTCTCAGTTATGAGAACCTGTAAACAGTAAACTGAATACCACATGGTTTTGGATTGCTGGTTGCACAAAACAAGCTACTTGAAGACATCACCTCAGGTTAAAGGAGTGTTGATGGGGATTTCCCCACTTGTTTCAAACATTTTGTAGAACACAATTAATCAAATCATGTAAAATAAAAAAGAAAAACTTTAGGATGTGCAGCTCAGCAGACAAAAAAAAAACTTGACTATTGATTTACATATATTTGATATGATTATATGTGATTTATTGATTAGTCTACAGAATAGTTCCTTTATGAATCCATTAACACTTAGTCCATAAAAATGAGGACATGCTTATTATAACTTATCAGAAACCAAGGTGATGCCTACAAATTGCTTGTTCTGTCTGATCAGCAGTTCAAAACCAAAGGCAAGGCACACTGGTGAAGCTAAAACCAGAATTTTCTAGGAAAGGACTAAAACTATTAACTCAATACCAAAACAGCTGTCAATTAGTTTGTTGTCTATGCTATGTGTATGCTAAATGTAGGCAAGAGGTCTAGCAGAAGAAATATTGTCATTTGACATTTGACTGAAATTTGCATACTGGGATTCATTCCGACTTACCCTCTAACCACTATACTACTCTGCCACCACATCAGTGAAGGTGAATAAAATACAGTACCTTTTACCCACCTACAGCAGTCATTTACTAAAAGTTATCTGCATTTACTTAAAGCACTAGCCCAGACAAAATGAAAGTGAAAGGCACATCCAAGTGAAGTTTGGTACAATGATGACAGCAGTGGCCTCTAACAAACTGTGCCTCATAAGTGATGCCAAGCTGCCATAAAACCTTGTTATGTAGTGGGTAGTGGGAACAGAGGGGTGAGGACTGCTGGACTGAAGAAGTATGTGGTGGATGGGACGCTGGGGGATGTTAGCTAATTTACAGGCCTCCCAGAGGCAAGGGGGGGTTTTAATTACAGGATGCATGCATTTCGTGAAGTGCCGTGCCATAAATCTCGAACATAACCCCCCGCCCAAACACCATAATGTAAGAAACTAAAGAAACAGGAGCTGTGCTTTAAAAGAACGAAGGCGTAATGGAAACATACTTAACAGATTTTGTCCAGTGGATGCAAATGTCCACATCACTTCTCATACATTATCATTCCTTTAAACACATGACAACCTGCGGCTTGGACAGAAGTTGGGCCAGCACCATTATGGCGAGCATAGCTGCAATTTCTCAATATGCCAAGCAACAGAAAATGAATCTGAACGTATTTTTGATGAAACAAGTCTTTCAGACATTTTTAGGCAAAGATACAAAAAAATGCTGTTTGAAGTTTTTTGGGCACTCACAAAGAAGAGATTCCATACGACAACTTGGTGAAAATGTGCACTCTTTCTTAGCATTAAAAACAGAATGCTGAATTTAAACAAATATTTAACTATCTGATAATTTTCCACCCTGTCTGTGTATATAGGTCAGCAACAACCTGCCTGCAGATACATGATAAACAGGCCTCAGTCAGAGAAAACAAAGTGCTTTTTTTTGTGTGTGTGCAAATAATAATCAGTCCCCAAAGAGAAGCCTGTTTGTGCCGCTTTGCAGAGCAGTAGTGGTGCTGGTAGGAAATACTGTAAGAAGGGTGTGGGTGTGTGTGTGCATGAGGGGAGAAGGGGTTCACTTCAACATTAATGCAAATAGCTGTTAGCAAGCCAGGGGCACACAAGTGTCACATAGCAGATAATAGAGGCTTTGCAACTGAAAACCAAAACTGTGAGGAGACTGGGATGTCATCTGCATGTTCCCTTACACCTGCCGGTCACCTTTATCACCTTGAGGTGAAGCTGATACACATTCTAACATGCACATACAAACACACTAGAGTTCAAAGTAAAAATAAATAAAAATCAGCTGACACTTTATGTGCAAAAATAACCCTCACATATTCCAATATAGTGCTTAAAGATGATGTGGGGCTTCAATATATTCGTTTTACTGTTTGTAGTTGATAAGACTTATTATTGAGTTTGTAGCGCTCAAACCATTGTGTAATGCACTGTGAGCACTGAAGGTTGAGTGTGTTTACTTATTATTTGAGTATTTTTGATTGTTTGCTGCTTACAATTAATAAGGCGCCTTGTGCAGCTGAGCAGGCTCCCTGTTTTTTACAGTGTGTTGGCTGCACATACAACTACAGAGAGAACCTTGAGGTGCATTTTATCCTCCTTTTGCACAGTGTGACAGATTGAAGTTTTTGTTTTTTTGTGGCTCTATACAGCAGAAACTACATTTACCGTGAGAATAAATCCCATGTAACTCAATGCTGATGGACCAGTTTCACAACTTCATATCAATCTAAGTGCTTCTGTTGATTTTCTCATGAAAAAGACCAGTATGACCTTGTTTTCTTCATATCATCCTGCCTGACATGAGTGGAAAAATGCTGTTGTCACATTTATGCAAGGTCGCTGGGTGTAACATGTTCAAACATGGCTAGATCAAATTGACTCTGGTAATTGGGGATCACTGCTGTGAGACCCTGATGATAAGCAAACAATCTCACAAAACTAAGCATGAAGCATGAAGAGAGCCGATAAGAATCGAACACGTAAGTACACACATACAAAAGTGGGGGAAGGGAAGAATGTAGCTGGTAGAGAGAGGGGTAGAGGGGGGTGTTTGATTCAGCTCATGAACACATAATCAACCATATACAAACACTGCGCTCTTCCAGGCCAAAGGGCCTTTGAGTGTCATTAATGTAGCAAAGCAAACACAACCAGCACAGCATAACTTTAGTGTCTCCACTGTCACAATGCAATGCTCCACCTTCGTTCCTGTAAATTACAGTTATTTAACTCTACAAAATGTCAGTGGCAACATAAAATGAAGGCTGATTCAAAAGTGTCTAACTCACTGCGCACTAGAAAATGATCTGTTTTGCTGAGGGAACACGCAATGTTAGTTGTTACTCAATCCTGATCTGTAATTATTTACTTTAAAAGGGAAGACATTTCATTATCCCAGTGCAATGAGACTAGAACTGCAGCTAAGGATGACGTTCATTATTGATTAATGAGATGATTACCTTTTGATTTGTTTGGTCAACAGTGGAAAAACACCCATCACAATTTCCTTCTGCCAATAGTGACATCATGTGATGCCTTGTTTGTCTGAGGAACAGTTCAAAAATCCTGAAGACCAGGAAAAGCAACAAATTCCACCATTTGCAAAGCTTGGGGCATTAAAATTTATTTTTTGCAATTAATCAATTAATTATTTTTTAAAAATGTAGATTGGTCAATTGACAGAAAAACAATCAATCAATCAATGAAATGACAAAGCATTGCAGTACTATCTGACACAGAATGAGCTTCAATTTCCTGCTTGCTAAAATTACAAGTAAACAAAAGCACTGAGGTCACAGCAGTGTAACTGAAGAGTGCTCAGATATTCTTGGAGTCTTAGAAAACCCGGTAAATTTTAGTTTTACTGTCTGCTGTAATGTAATGTTTTGGCTGTTTTTGTAAAGTGTGTTATTTTTGAGAGAGACAATAACAAACAGTTTGACTTAATTTCAAAAATGAGAACATTCTAGACCAGGGCTTTGCAACCAGTGGTCTGCAGACCATCCAGGGGCCGTGAAGGCATTGCAGGTGGTCCCTGCCTATGCAGTCGGTCCCTGCCTATGCAGTCAGTAATGATTGTATTTTCGTTGCAGGAATCTTGTTTTTTTTTTTTTTTTTTTAAACAACCACACACGCACACACGCACTCCTATGGGCAATTTAGAGACACCAATCAACCTAAGCTGCATGTCTTTGGACTGTGGGAGGAAGCTGGAGTACCCGGAGAGAACCCACGTATTAATTATGGATTGTGAATAAACAAATTCATGCAAATATATCAAATTTAGAAAAGGCAAGGTGACTCTCAGGACTAAAACACTGCCCATCCGGTTTATCCATCTCACAGCCATGGTCCTCAAATTATTTCCATGCCAAGCCCATATTGTTTTTCCTCTCTCTTTGTTCCTCAGGAGTTTGCTGTGC